TAAAAATTGGCTTGCCGCACAAGGACGGCCCGTGTGCGACCGTGTCCCACACGGTCGATCCAACTAGATTCTGTAAAAGTTGCATTTCGATTACCGCGTGCAACAAGCGAATTTTTAAAAACCTTTGAATACAGTTTTGTTTCTTTTCAAGAATAAAGGAATGCTTTCTTTGAGTAAAATTTTCTATCTAAAGTATTAAACTGTCAAACACCGCGAGGACACCGGTGTTTAGGGATTTTGTTTGAGACCGAAACGTCGTATTTAGCCCTGATTGGTTGGTTCTTTGGAATAAGCCAATCAGAGCGTCAAATGCGGTAACGTTTCGATCTCGTTCAACGTTACACTAACTCATAGGTATAAACTAGCTAAGCCGTCTGTACCTATATCCTATATACTTACTATTACCTATGTAAGTCTAACAAATTGTAAGATGGACTAAAAGATGGTGTAGAATAGCAGCTGCACGAACCTACAAGTAGGTACCCATGGTACCTATAATGACCATGCTACGTGGGCACTGCACGACATTACTATATTGTTCGAACATTACATAATAGGTAGATAGGTACCTACTTTCAAAGGAAGGAAATAAGTGGTACACCAATAAAAACACATTCCTTTCATTATTAATGATCGCGAGTGTGTCTACCGTCCGTTCTCCTATTCTTAGTTTCTTATTTTGGTATCGTAACAGTATAATAAAATATTTCTGTGCATACTACCCTACTTCCTTTTCGGTTAATATCCAAAACAGCAAATCCAATCCTATATTATCGAGATCTTTATTAGCATTTACAAAGCAGGCAGAATAAGATACGAGAATCAAATACCTATCTAATAAAATATTAAAGAAAAGAAGAACCTTTGATTCTTCATAATTAAACTATGATTTAGTACATAATCAAAACCCACAGAACTGTATAATTTCTTCAGCAGAAAGTGAGAATAGAATGAACCCTCGAATCCGTCGGAACATGGAAAGAGTGGAGATGTTAGCCCGACCGAACTCCCGTCGACTACGCTCTTTGTGGGACGAGAAATGTGCCATTCTACCTCGTGACCGAAGAGATAAGATTAAGAGCGCTTTGGAGGAGGACTACTTCTTGAGTCCTGAGTATGAAATTTGTCCTTTATATATTTCATTTCTTCATTGCATTACATATTTTCATTTAATTTTAGACTTGATCTTTATAGGTAGGTAGACCTCATGGATTGCAAGATGGTAAGTTTTATATACGTAGGTACGATTTGAAATGAGTGGGTAGGAATATGATCTGACTCTCTCATTCAATATTTTTAAGGAGCTGAAAATAAAATGCAGGATAAGAACCCACTTAGGTACCTGTAGATTGCTACATAATTGATTCACTTCTCAAGTTTTAAACAGAGACCTAAGTATAGTAACAACCTACCTAGCTATGATAGCTTCGAACTATGAACTACTAACCTATATAGTCACCGAATAGGATCATTTAGGCAATATATTGTTGATTCACAAACTCATAATCTAACTATAACAATGTGATTTGCATAAGTTTTTGACAACTATACGAAATTAGGAAATAGTTGTATTCAAATTGTGTGAATGTTCATTCACGCATGGCGGCATCGTAGTTTCGCTTAGCTTATTTATTACGAAACTAGTGAGTAGTAGTGAGTCATTCATGGGTTTTCAATTTAATTTTATAGAAATGCTGATTAATTTCGAAACCCGAGTTTGATTGTTACAAGTTACTTAATAACCTCTGAAAGATATTTACGGCTTATATATACGGAACTGTTTAACTCTTGTAGGTAATTCTGGTCTGAAATTGCGATGAGTAACCAAAAGACTGCAGCAGTATTCGCTACATTTTCAGTGACTTAACTGCTGTACTTAATCAATAAGCAGACGGTTTTGAGATCACTAAATTCCTTATTACCTACTTAGTGGACGTAACACAGAAGCTAACAACTAACTTAGGATTGTATGGCATTATATTTATTTCGTTTTCTCTTTGCCTAGACAAACCGAACAATACTTCCAAGCGTTTTACGAGTCGTCGAAACGATGGTCGGGGCCGGGTGGAATGGTCAGCCGCAAGGAACATGCTGACAGAAGCAAGGAGCTGCGTCTCAGGCAGAAATGGCTGGTTAACTTTAGTGCCCAGGTTCTCTTCTTAGTATAAGTAGTTATTTCCAAACTCAATTGCATTGGGTAGGTACCTAACAACTAAGCGGTTGACGAAAAACGTTGTACGGGAAAGTGTCATTTGTCCTGATAGATGATAAGGACTCTAGTTTCTTATACATATTTCCCAACTAGAGTTTACCAATAAAGGTTTTCTGAAGTTTTCACTAAACCGGAAATATTGGGGCGTTTATGTGATTATGAAGTTTTGGCCAAAATCTAGTATGCATATTATGGATTTTTTTGAGTACCTATATAATGAAGAAGTTCATTCATAGTTATTATATTATGTTCAGGTGGCGTACCGTTTATGTGATTACATAGCTAAAGGCCAAAAAGAGATGTTGGTGTCCAACCGTCTGAGAAGCATCGCCGATGTGGTTTTGGAAAGAGTCGCTGAAATTCTCGGTCAGTATTAAGCAAAAATGGTTAGTTTAAAACTTTGTTAAACGTTAGTTTGATATGTTGAAATAACTTATGGTCAGTCTGATAGGAACCTGTTTCTGTAGACTACGTTTGTTAATAAATCCAATACATCATTTTAAGGACGTTTTGCATTGTCGTCCTGTTAGGCAGTTAGACTAATCTATATTTTTTAATTCAAAAGATCGAACTGAATTTGATCGTGGTCCGCCATATCATTGGTTGTGAGAATAATCGCGACCAATGACGGGCGAGATTACGATCGAGCTCACTTCTTAAGTTCGAATCAATGGTTACAGAATAGCTTAACTAATAGATTTCTGTAATTGAAAACCCTATTCAGTGATTCACGATGAACCATGCATATTGTGCCCATTACGTTTTACATATTAACATTTCTATATTGGTATTTTTTCCTAGGTGAACCCAAACCAACTCGCACGAACCCTGGTCGTCTCCCGCGGTTCATGGTAGCCATATCCGACCGTATCGCAGTGTGGATTGAAAACGCAGTCTACCGAGCTGATGCAGCTGAAACCGAATCAGTCAAGGGACCCGATGAACATATGCGACTTGACGCCGATAAACCACTTATTTGCTGATAAAAATAAAATTTAAATTTCAGTTAGCGGGCAGGTAAGTAAGTAAGTAAGTTCATTCAGAAAAAGAAACGAATTGTATTTTGATACTCTAATTTATGATTGAGATCAAATAAATCAAGTAGGGATTATTTTTAAAGGATTTTATAATATAGATATAAGTATCTATATTACCTATATATGATATATGTGATGATATATCTTAGGTATCTCAAAAATTCTATAAATATGTATGTTTAGGTGTCTACAAAATTACATTTATATCTGAGTTTACAAAATAACTTATGTATCCATTATTGATCTGTAAATGGCAACTGGATTCCGCAGAATATTAATTTAATATCTGATGCAAAAATATTAACTACAGGTAATTAGGCTGTAATAAATTGATAATTGCTCTAAATTCTAAAATATAGACATAAAACTTCTTATAAATGCTAGCGATCTCTAGGTCCATGTAACAATAATTTGAATACATTATGGAAATACTACATTTTATAGCGATAATATTATGATGATAATAAAATGGAATTTTATGACGAACAAGACAACAATGGTGCATAAATTGTTTTAAAATAGACTTATGTTATAAGTTTACATTTCAATGGAAACCTTCACTTATTAATATAATTTATGTTACTAGTACCCAAAGCAGCTAAATCTGAGTTCAAGTACTTAATTTAGGAAAGTTGGGATGTTAAGTCTATCCGCTGAAAAAAACTACAATTTCTATTAAAATATTCCACTGTAGACTAATATGGGCTGGAAGCCTCTCCTATATTAATGACCTTAGTGTCAAGAAACCATAGTTTAAAAGGTGTAGGTTTATCAAAGAGTTCTGCTGCTTGGTCTCTGCCTAATCTATAGTCCCTTACGGCATCCCCGAGAACAGAGTATAGGGGTGGTGTAAATATGTTGCTTTGCTGTTACCACGTAACTTGTTAACCTTACAACTGTCACATAATTCTTACATGATTAATAAGCTATTGTTGCCATTGCATAGGCATTTCATATCAATAAGCCAGTTTTAATTGAAACGCGTCCATACTTCCATAACAGGCGTATAATGTGAACAGTGAATGATTAAATTATGAGCTACGCCTACATTTCGATCCAGTTATGTATAATTATATACATAACCTTATATACTAGTGTTTACTGACATAACTGACTTCTAATAGACAGTTATTTAATTTGCATACTTTGTAACAAAGAGGGTAATGCGTTTAGCTCTAGGTTAGGTGCTCATGTGAAGTTACGGTATGTGTTTTATGATCATGTTGATTGCTGAGTGCCTGTTTGGATCATACGAAGGTGTAATTTCTTACATACATAGTGTGTGTTTTATGAATTAATTATTTCTACCTCTGATTGAGATATCACTTCACTTGTTTCACTCTAATTCAAACTAGTATAACTTAGTGCTATGGGCTTAAAGTATGATCAAATCGAGTGAAAGTATTGAGGTTTTTGATATTGAATTTTTTAGAATTAATAAGAGAAATTAAATAAATGTCACGCAAGAGGTTAGAAAGCCTAAAATCTTCCTCATTATTAAACATTACCGATTGGAGCATCGACCCAATGATACGGCTCCCCAGCTTTGACTTGGCAACAGACTGATTTTCTACCAGCCTACGTAAACTATCGATTAAACTGGTAAGGCTAGTTATCGATAATAATAATTATTTGATAAATATGCAGGAGTTACTTTTATCTAAGTATTTACAAAGCTTGGTGACAAAGTTGTCCTGGCAGGTGACCTTCAAAGGTTCTATATAATGCGTCTGCTTTCCGTAGGACGATATAGTTTGCACTCAGCAGCAGTTCTAACTAAACCACCAAAATGAAATACTTCGTGAGTTATTCGCATTTTATTAATAGTTTTCTAATGGGCTTTTGGTAGTTGACTACAGCGCCTGGAAATCCTTTAAGGGACCGAAGTCATTCGTTCAGTTAATGCTGATATGGAATTCTCTTTTCAATGGAAAAGAGAAAAACTTCTTTAAGAACTGCTAGAAGACCAAAATATCCTACCTTAATTTCTGTTTATGATATTCTTTACCCTAATTATCTTGGATTCATATTCTCTCCCCTTCTCCCTTATCGGAGATTATCACACCACACACTCCTTCTCCAACACTCAATAACTAATCGATACTGTTGAAGTCGTTGTCTTCCTATCTTAACCAAAGAGTATTTTTTTTTCAGCTGGTTTTCCTGGTCGTCTGCGTGGCCCTGGCCGCCGCTTCACCCCAGTTCTTTGCCTGGCCAGGATATGCTGGTTATGCTCCCGCTAGCAGGGTACGTATTAATAACAATTTTTTCTTGAAAAAAAGGAATAGGAGGTAAACGAGTAGACATCAAATTGTACCTATTGCGTTGCGAAAAGATGATGAGTTCTCGCTACTGAGTTCCTTTAACGAAAGTAATTTTAATAAATTAAGTATGTTTTCGGCTTACTCACGTAATAGTTTGACGAGAAACTCGACTAGTTTCAAGCCATGCTAGAGGCTCATATTCATGAGCAGCATTTCATCAGAATATGAGCCTCTAGCATGGCTTATAAGCCGAAAACATAATAATTTATTTAGTATGTCTCACGAAAGTTACAATACAAAGAAAGTTATTTTGGTTTTTTGTTTACAGACTGTGGTTGCTGGTCCTACTGTGGTGAATGAAGCTCCTGCCCGCTACTTCGCTGGTTATCCATTCTTCTAAGCCGGCGCTCTCCCCTTCAACCCTCAACCCTAGCAACTTGCACTTTGTCACACTTTGGCCCAAACAACATAATATTCGTGTCTTGTATATTTAGGTACATCTATTTACTATAACATGTATATCTACAAAAATTAAAAGTATTGTTTACAGAACTTGTGTTGTTTTACTACGATTGAATTAATGATTTTAAAAATCTTCTTTAACAAAAGCCTACTGTCCACTTGTCTAAAAAAATTATGATTGCGCATGCGCATGATGCGCGGTTTACGTTGACAATATCGTCTTACACGAAAACAAAAGAAAAACTCAGTAATCCTGCGTTTAACCTACATTTGAATTCAAAATCTCTTGTTCAGTAGTAATCACTACTGATTGCAGCCACTGGTCCAATGATGCAGTCAAATTACAAAAGGTTATGAATAGAACGAATGCCTAGTTAGGTAACAGATCTAGCTCAGTTGTAACATAGCATAACAAATTGACAAGTAAGGTGTGAAATGAGTTCGTTCCTCTATTAGAATTATTAAGCCAATTCTAGATAGAATATTAGCAACCCATGCGTATACTACAAAGACCGGGAAGCAGCGCTATCTGATAAAACTAAAACTATTAACCTGAAATCTCCAATCCAAGGCAAGCGTGGAGATTATAAAAAAGACCCCCTAATTCCCCTTCTCATGTAGGGAAGTACTTTAGTTTAACAGTGGATTGTATGATAAGGATGGTGCACTTATTTCAATTAGACCAGAAAGGCACTTTTGAACGTCAACAAAAATTAAAAGTGAAGCTATTTGCTCATTCCAAGGTGTAGATTCCTATGGAGAAGAACGGGCAAGAAACTCCATAGTTTACTCTTTTTCAATCAGGTTCACAATACAATTCTCTAGTTACATAGTTTTGTTGGTTCGATTCTGCAAGAACTATGTGTACCACGACAGAGATCGACTTGGCCTTTTGTCTCCTAATTCGATTAAATGTCATAGCAACCAAGGAAGAAACCACTTGGTAGATACTTTTAACCGACTTCCCAAAAAAGGAGAAAGTTATCAATTCAGCAGTAACTATGTTGTGTTTTCTTTACTACTTTTTTTGAGATCTAAGCCTATTTTCAGATAAAGAGCAACAACAGTTAATTATTCTGTAAATGGAACTGTAGGTACAATACTAACTACGTTAAATACTATCACGCTTTTAACAAAAGCATGGCAAGTGATGCCCTTTGGCAACTTAAATTCCATTTACCTATACAAGAGGTAAGTACGACTGAGTACCTCGTACCTACCTACATATGTATATTAATTTATAATTTTACAACAACAAGGAGTCTGAGTATGTGCCTGTTGTATCAATAGCTTACACACAGTCTTTGATTCCCAGCAAATAAAAATGTATTATTTAAAGCTTGGAACGCTGGCGAGCACTCGATCCACTATCCTGTTATAAGTTAAAAGCATTAAGCGCCTACATATTATAAGCAACAACTGCTTACCTGTCATATTAGTAATATGTAAGCTAACGAGTTACAAATTAAATATGCATGATTGATAACTAGGACTGATCGTGGACAGGTGAGCATGCAAATGATAGCCGTAACTTCCCAGAAACAGTGAATTATGTGTATAAATCAACACGAATTCTAGTAAGTATGCAAATCTGTTGAATGACTAAATTATTAGGAAAGTCTACATTGTTGTCTAGTTAGCTTATGCAGAAGGCAATGGTATTCGTTGCATAGGTAGTTGTAATTGTCGTTACATGCACCTGAATGGAGATTACACACAGTTTTTTTAAAAAAGAACATCCTTTTTTTATTTTTCGCTGAAGCTCCTCTGGTGTTTCGGGTGTATCTGGGCGGCGTTGATTGCTTACCATCAGGTGATCCGTCTGCTCATTTACCACGACTCTGTCCCATAATAAGGTTATTAGGGTTAATTGGGTTGACCTGTACTAAACTGAACTAAATCCATGTAGGTACATAGATTTAGTTTTAGGCCTAAACTATCACAATGGAGAAAACAGTAATGATAGTTTTAGGTTAGGTTTTAAATAAATAAAAAAAAATAATCCAAGCCACATCCAAGAAATGAAAAACATAACTGGTAGCATACAGTTATGTTTTTCATTTCTTGGATGTGGTACCATTCCATTTGTGAATGCTGTTTGGTGTAGGTATGTATACAAATTACATTTCAGATGTAGATACCTATTGGGCACAATATCCACCCCCGATAGAGCAGAAGAAAAACTAAACCTATATTTAGTCAGAAGAGCACAATTAAACTTAATATCGTATGTTAACATCCGTGTTTCGCCAGTTAATAAATTGTGAGATGTCATCTCTACCTAAGGGTATTATTATTTATTTTATTTTTAGTCATGTTTGTCCCACTGCAGGACAAAGGCCTCCCTACCCTCCTTCCACTTGTCTCGTCTTAAAGCTTTCTGTGGCTAATTCTTTTCATATGCGTCAAGTTCATCCCGCCATCTCAGTCCTACCCATTTCATCCATATTCACAGCCCTTCATAAACAAGATATTAATCCCACATTTATATTAATCTACTAAAAATATATACCACAAATACCTAAGGGTATACAAGTGGAATAAAAGTTTAGCTTACAGAATTGACCTCTTATCCATCGGCAAAAACATCATAAATTAATAATGAATTAATCCTGCCACAGCTCCCAATTACAAATATAATGAAAACCGCGAAAACTTCTTTAAAACTGATTAGAATTCATTAAACTTTAACAATAAGAATAGTTTAATCTTACCTTCAACTATACAAATGCTATTCTTTGCTAATCACCCATACATAGAAGCAGCTTGATGATAAAGTAGTCCTAATAAATTATTATACGGCCCATAACTAGAGCAACAATAATTAACTTTGTATATTTTTTCCTGGTAACTGGTGTTTTCATTAGATATTCAGATAGGCCGTCTGACCTTAGGAGGGTCTAGAGACTTATGTTAGGCTGCCTGCATCGCTGCATGACCTTCAAGGGCCCTATATATGCGTCTGCCTTCCGTAAGCCGGTATAGTTTGCACTCAGAAGGCTCAGTAGCAGTTCTAGTGAGATCTACCAACACTGCCATCAAAATGAAATACCTCGTAAGTTTATAATCATAACGATTATTCGAATATAATATGTTCTTTTCGATTAAGAGTATCTATACAAAAACTATAATTATTAACTAGCTAATTAAAAAAAAAAACAACAACATAAAATTTCTCCAACTCTTTTACAGCTTGTCTTCCTGGTTGTCTGCGTGGCCCTGGCTGCCGCTGCACCTCAATTCTTCGCAGCTTACCCTGCCTACGCTGGATTCGCTCCCGCTGCTAGGGTGAGTAAAACTTTACAAACGTTTAATTTTGTTTAATTTTCTGAGAAGAAATAAATAACACCTAACGGAGGTGTTATTTTTTTCTTGTTTGAACTTGTTTAATCTGCCAATCAACTAATTTTCACAATAAATATACATTATAAGGCAATGTGTATTGCCTGTTTATAAATCGAATGAAACAGAAAAGAAAGTAACAAGAAGACTTCTTGAAGAAGTCCATTTTCTACACAAAATAACAGATTCCGATTGATATTGATAGAAACCAGTGAGTGATTGCCGATTCGTAAATACTTTAGAATAATAATTCAGGTTTAAAATATTCTTTCTAGACCTTGGTGGCTGGCCCCACAGTCGTAAACGGTGCTGGAGCCCGCTTCGTCGCCCCTGGTTACGTCGGCCCAGCATTCTTCTAGAATACTCTTCAAACTGCTGATGCTCCTCGCACTTTGTCTATTGGCTTTAATACTTAATACTCATCTTGTAAATAATCATTTGTAATGAATACACTGCAAGTTATATGTTTATAATTATTTTGTTGTTTTTGTTGCTATGCCTTAACTCTGCGAATGTGGATTCTACAATGTTTGTTTAGGTTTCCGTACAACATATTATGGGTAATTTGTAACTTCGTTTCAAAATCAAAATCAATAATGACGACAAAGTCACGTTAAAACATTGTTATTAAATCACCTTCAAAGTAAAAGATTTCTATCACATAGTAACAGTAATAAATCAACAACAGTAAAAATTAATCAATATAGATGATTTAATTAAATAATTCTATTTCTCTCTTAAACTCGACCAATTTGTTGATAAGAAAGCATTACATCAAGTCAGTTCAACTTTAAAATTAATCTTTAAACCAGTTTCAACCTTATGTTTTATCTGCACTCCATTCGACAAAGATGCCAAAGATGGTGATATTCAATCGTAACGGCTCGGACCAGTTGTTGTATAATCGTAATGGCAGAATTTTATCTCAAGTATCATGTACATTTAAAAACAGACGATTTTTATCTTTATTTTATAACGTAATGCAATCGATATGTAACAACAAAAAGAAAATGTTGATAATCTCATAAGGGGGAAGAATAGCTAAGATTATCAGAAAAAGGTTCGGAAGAAAAATGTTTGGTAAGTCACAATTTGGAAGTAGTAATAAATGGTCATCATATGTAGCAATACTGGGGGCTCCGGGGCAGGTCTATTAGATGACCCGGTGTCCCCTAAAAATGCAAAGGGTGGCCACCGGGGTAGGTTTAGTGAGGTAAAAATTCCACAGTCGTTTTCTCCCTAAAAGGCTAAGCACCTTTTGAAGGTTTCTCCCCGTCATCAATATAAAAAGACGTGTAGCAATGTAGTCTAAAATTTATTTATTAGAAGTTTAACTATCGATGGATAAGTTTTAAGCGTAACAAACGCAGTAGAGTCTACCGCGAGTCTAGCAGTAAGCTAGCGATCTAGATAATTTTTTTTGGCAATATAAAATTCATTTTGGTCAACACAAGTTTTATAATTTTACTTGCAGAACGTCATCGTATCACTTATGCATTTGAAATCATGGGGGCAAAGTTTAATAAACTCATAATGGCAATCAATATAGACAAAACACGGGAAAGTTATATTTTATGATAGAAATTGTCTCATGGTATGATGCTAGCGACGAATAAAATTAACATAGATTATGATATGAAAGAATTCAAGGAATTCATATGTTGTTACGTAAATGATGTCATTCAGTTTTGTCATGGTTCTTACTTTTTGGGAAATTGATAATCAAAATAATAAGATAATGAATGTTT